ATACATTATCAAAATTTTTCGTAAATATGTATAGAATTATTTGCACTTATTTTTATAAAATTCTTATCATTTTTAACATGCTTTCGAGAATTAAATTACAGATATCGTAATACTTTGCTATGTTTGCCATGTGCAATAGTGTAACTTTAATAATTAATTATTCGACAACCATGCAGACAATCGTCTTAAACTTTTGCATGGAGGACAGATTCTCTCTCTCTCCCATAGACAAATATTTTCTATAAATTTGAATTTATTTTTATCATCTTCATTTCAGCAACCATCCTCCTTAAATTAGGCTCATTCGACTCGTTTTCGCTTAAAACAAAAGAATCTGGCAGAGAAAAAGTGTCGCTCTGCCAAGAATATTTGGAATATTCCATAGATCATTGTTATATATTTATCTTATATTTGTGGAACATTCGACTGGCACTGCTATACATCTTTTTCGAACGTGAATAAAATAATCTATCGAATATAGCGCGTCGGTTATAGATGGTACGATCACAGGTTTTATTGCCTTTTACATAAGATAAGTTTATTACACAATAAACAATGTGTAACACATAAACTCGATGAATATTAAAAAATTATTCTGAACGAATATTCCAAAGACATTTCTCGACGCATATTCTAAAAACGTTCTTCTTTCCCTGGTAAAAATAAAAATTGGAGGGTAAATCGAATGTAAGGAGAGAGTGATAGAAGCGTAAACGAAAAGTGTGGGAAGCGTAATTTGGAACAGCGAAGCGTAAAAGAAACTTCAACGCTTCTTTTACGCTTTGCTGTTCCAAATTACGCTTCCCACACATTTCGTTTGCGCTTCTGTCACTCTCCCCTTACATTCGATTTACGCTCCAAATTCTATTTTCACCAGGGTTGTTATGAACATACGATTTCTAATTGTAACAATCTATATATACATTTATAGAATATTCGATTGGAATGTTCTGAAATTAACAATATTTGCACTCCAGAAGAATATTCATAGAACTATCGGTGCTATCTGGGATGTAACTATCGGCAAAACTCTTGATAAATAAATATAAACGTCATCTCTCGCTTGAAATTTTCGCCACGGATAGTCGAAGACCAAGACAGCGAAACATCATTGTATAATACATGCGTAAACGGAAGTGACGTAACAATGGTATAGGAATTTTCCGCGACGAATTTCCGCACATTAATTCCGTACCACTCGGTACAATATCAAATGTTATTGTTACACGAAAAAAAGGAAACCGTGCGGCGGACGGTTGGCGCGCGGCGCCTCGCCTTGTTTACGAACGCACCGGCGCGGCGAGGTCACCTCGCCTTCATTCTCGCCCCGTCGGTCGAGCCGGAAGGCAGTCGAGTGAACGGCTCCGCGCGTGTAATAACGCCGCGATAAGTTTTACTATAACATTACAACGATGCAGCCTTTTCATTCGTTCACGCGACCGATAATTGGGTCGTTTCGTCGACTCGTGAACACGCCTCTCGCCGTTTACAGACGTCTGTGGAATCGAAACGCCCAGAGTGCTTCGTCGCGAATTCATTCAAGGAACGACGATCGTCTCTCGTTGAACGCCGTGCCGATCGCTCGTCAATTTGAGAGTCGGTTTGGCCACCGCTTTCGCGAACGCGGAGTGATACGTGACGGACAACGTGATTCGTGTGTGTTTTTGTAACGAAGTGCGGTGTCGGCAGTGTTCAGTTATATTCGCGTCCCGCGGGATTTACGCGCCCGAGTTGCGTCGCGAGCGCGTCTCGAGTGTACATTTTTCTCCAACGACTACGTCGCGTCGTTGCTGGCTTGACGCGCGTTGTACGCCGCGCCGCCATATTGCCACCCCGACCGGCAGACAGGCAGGCAGGCAGTCGAGTGAGCTCCGTGCGTAGTGCCGTCACCCCGCGAGATACATCGCTGTGAGTATCGCGACGATATCGCGAGCATTGGAACGAGGCGGCATTCTCTGTTATTCGTTTACGCGATCGATTAATGTCCGCCGTTCGCGCCGAGACGTTGGTAGCCGCGCGGCACACGCCTCGCGCGGTTTACAGACATCTGTGGAATCGAGTGTTTCGTTGCGAATTTATTCACGGGACGTCGAGTCTCCCGTTGAACGCCGTGCCGGTCGATCGTCAATTTGAGAGTCGTCTGGCCTCCGCTTGCGTGATGCGCGAATTGTCCAAGTGCAGTGCCGGCTGTGCTCAGCTAGTTACATTCGCGTCCCGGCGGAATTTACGCGCCCGAGTTGCGTCGCAAGCGCGTCGCGAGTGCACATTTTTCAAACGGTTCGTTCGCGTCGGTTCGGCCGCTGACTCGACTCGCGTTGTATCCTCGCGGCGTCGCGGCGCCGCGTCGCGACGCGTCGGTAGACGGCGAATGGCGAATTTAGACGTTGGCCGCGCTCAACAGAAAACGCTGCTTCGCAACAGTTGTAAAATTCGTAAATTTGATTAGAGTATATGCTCTTAGATTCTGACTTTTATAACATTTTTACAACTTTTCCGCCGACCCAGTGAGAAACGATTCATCAGAACGATTCGTCACTGCCAAATTGACGTCGATTCGACATCGACGAGTCATTTCTCTGTGGGAAACGCGGCCGGTGAGAGCGCGCCGCTGGAATACGCCGATCGTTTCGTCTCGGGAGCGAATCTACCGCGATTGTCGTATTGTGACGATTACTTCGCGAAACATGGAACAATTGCGTTGTGAGTGTCCTGTGCAA